GGCTATTATTCCTGCTTGTGACCGTAAAGGAATCGACTTCCTCTGTAGGAACATGGGGAACAATAATTTGAATAACTATATTACCCACAGAACTCTAAAAGATGTACACAGATAGTGAAGGTACATAAATGCCCAGAAGCAAAACCAGGGGCCATATCAGCATTCGCTCGAAGAATCACGGAAACTGGACGAAAAACCTGGCCGAGATGTGGGTCATTGACCCAGAGGCTGAGGTACAATACTTGACACAGATTGTTTAGAATTATGCAGTACAAATGGTAATTCATACATCCAATATCATTGTTAATCCTTAACTACTGGCGTTGGGCCAATTTGACCCGAAGGCATTTTCTCTTTTTATTTCAGAAAATATGTTTCAAGCCTCTACTACTTTCTCATTTTATTATATTTCTTTCTCTTTTCTTTTTACTTTCAGATATAATCTTTCTCTTCTTAAGTACTCCAGACGCATGTAAACTATTTATGTCCTATTCTTTTGTTTCGGGCACACTGTAATTGCGTGAAATGTCACAGCCGGCTACGATCACTCCCTTGGCACCTAGAGAAAGACCTTACTCTGTCAATAGTTTCCGATTGCATCGGCCTCACTCAATACGTGGAAGTCGCCGCTTGTCACGCGGAGTATGAAAGAGATAAGAACTGTTAGCAGCCTCTGGAGAACAGTTGAAGACAACTTCCATACGTACCACTGGGATAAAATACGGCGAGGTTCAGGATCCCCATTCGTAACTAAATAGCTAAGGACAGAACGCGCGGTTATTTTTTCGATACATTTAAGACGTTTCGACAATTTTTTCCTGTGTTTTTCATTTTTATTTTTCCTGCACTTTTACCATTTTAATTTTTCTCTCTAGAGTGAGGATAAGGCCCTACCTCGATCCGCAAATGCGATTACATCAGTAACGTATCCAACTGCTTGTTGCTGAAGTTTCGCATCTGAATTGGTTTTAATAAAAAAAAATTGTGTCAATTTCCTTTACTTTTAGGATTTTAAAAACATTTTAAGAGTATTTCATTGATCATTTTTGGCGATGTTTTAGGTCATCAAAATCCGCCCCTTCCCCATTATATTTCCCCATCCTAGGCATATTATATAAATGCGCGACAGTAGTAGTGTGTGATCGGTACATACAGATAATCTTGTATTCAAAATGTTTTGGTCGAATGTGTCGTATTACAGATTATGTACAATGACACAGGCTAAATAAACTCAGCTCAAGCTGCGATACGATTTTCGCTTAAATGATTATCCGAAAATATTTTTACGGAGAAGAGATAAGGTTATGTAATGCTACACGAAAAAACGGCGAATTTTAAGCAGAAAACATAATATTACAGGGCCCTGACAACTAAGAAATGGATAAATTCTATTGATAAATTTAGAAAATTTAATTTTTTGGGGTACTTTATGTGAAGCACCTGGGTCAGTTTTCAAATAATTTGATTGACGCTTTTAAAAATTATTTTCAAAAAATGGCTCCATCATTTTTGATTCCTTTTTGTTAGATACTGCAAATTATGTTTTAAGAGATTGGTGCAGGTCTCATGTCCTTTGAAAACCCTAATTTTGTAAAAATTACAAAAGTTCATAATTTTTTTAGGAGTCTTCCTACAGCTAAAATATTAAAGATTGAGATTTTTCCCGTAATGAAATCTCTTTTTAAAGATAATTTTAAAATAAGGTCACGAACAATTTTTAGAAAATTGTAGTACTTTTCATGTAATTCTGCACGAAAATACGCGCGAGAAAGTACGTGCTGTTTTAGCATTACTAGTTATTTGAATGTTCCGTGAACTAAGTGAAACTTTTTTTGTGTGTGTGTGGGAGGGGGCGGATTTCCCTTATTCCCCCCCCCCTCCAGTGGATACGCACCTTAAATTGGTGACAACACCACCTTATGTATCAGCCATAGCAGGATCTGTAGTTATTTTTACTATTCATAAAGTCAAGAAGATTGACGAACGCACACGCACTCCACAGAAGCTAACTTTTACAATTGTACTAAGTTAGAGGGGGCACTGTCGGATAGCTACGTAGAGCCTGGAAGTTTAGCAAAATGCATTTTTATTATTGTTAGAATTATAAGACTTTTGACAATAGGAATCCCTTAATTGTACTACTGGAAGTGTTATAGTAGATTTTCATTTTGCCATTTTTGGTTTCTGATGCCTATTTTTGGTCTTTTTATTTGTGCCTTTTCTGATATTTTCGTCATTATTTTCCCTTTTTTCGTCCTGGTACCAATCTCTATCAAGCTGGAAACATACTGGGCAAGTGGCACATTTGTGTATTGTCTTTCTCTGGATACGAAGACTGTGGCCATGTTAAAAATCTAAAAGGGAATGGAATATGATACCAGTGAAAAATTTCAATATTTTTCATTGATGCTGGCAGACTTGTTTGCTCACGAGAAATCTTATGCTATGTTTGTGTATGGCTTTGGATCCCTTTTGAGGACTGAGCTGTCTGGACATGATATAGCTTTCTTGGTTCCTTTTTGATTTCTCTTCCCTTGTGGCAATTACACAAGTGCAAAAAACAAAATCTACAATTCCACTTTCATTGATACCATTTCAAGATTAAAGAGGTAGCCCATAACAGTATTTCGGGGAGACAGAGATGCGAGGAAAATAAATTCGTAGTCGTCATACCGGATGGTCCTGTGCAATCAAGATTACAAAGAAATAGTTGTTTCCTTCCACAGAATGCTAATGTAAACTTTAAAGTTAGATTAAAAATGTAAATCATTTTAATTATTAATTTTTATACATTAATTACCTTTAAACAATGATTTTTTAATGTTTCTAGGGTTTTTACCCCCTACTTTGGCTAGAATAAATTCCATTTTTGCTTGCCTACTTTAGTGAAAAGAAATGCCTTTTTGCCTGCCTAACTTAGGTAAAATAAATGCCTGAACTTCCAGGTTCAAGTAATTACAATGTAAGTAGTCGAACAAGATGTCAATTAACTGTATTCTTTTATTATATAAATGTGATGATTTTTTTGTTGCTACATTATATATACTATTAAACTACATTATACATTGTTTATTCTATTAAACAGATGTACCTCCCAAAAGCCATTCAAAGGACATTATTATGTTGAATAACAGTGTTCATGTCTGTATGACCTGATGCCAGTGTAAGTATTATAGATCTCACATCAGTAGTTAAGGGTTAAAATTAATATTCGCATTCCTTTTTGATGCTTGGAATAGTCTCTAATTGTACAGAAACAGTTCTGCACCAGGAAATATTTTACGAGATATTTAAAATTTCTCTACAGAGTTTAATCGTTTGTCATCTGTCAAATTGTTATAAATTTATGTACATGTATTGTATGTGAATATTTTGTACAGAGCTGTTGATACTGCCACCTGATGAATATCATTACTACGTCAAGTGTTACAATTAAATACATCAGTATTTGCTGCAAATATGTTACCATCCTTGAGACAGTCATTGTTGACAAAAATTACAGATTCGTAAATCTAGACACATGGTAATGGTAGGATTCCTAACTTTATAAATATAGGGTTGCAGTAATTACATGGGTGGGATATGCTTAATATTTGCACAATTCTTTTTTGTAAAAATCTAAAAGTCTGGGAGCTATAGAATGTGTTTCTCCAGAATATTATGCCGTATCTCATGCGGGAATGAACATCTGTGAATGAATGAACATCTTTTTTTTTTTTTTTTTTTTTTTTTTTTTTTTTTTTTTTTTTTTTTTTTTTTTTTTGAAATGGAAAACTTTATTGAATTGGAACTGCATGTCTTTGGTTTACTATTAATTTGTTAACGAAACCAATTTGGAACATCTGATACTGTACTATTTATAGTTTCTTTATTGCAAAGAATATTCTTATCCTCCGCACAGAGAACTGTTCTTCCATTTCGTATCATTTAGGGAATATCTTTTACGTACAGTAGGAAGAGAATTGGGCCTAAAATTGAACCCTGCAGGACCCCTTGAGCTATTGGGAATGAATTGGAAAGGTGTGAATATAATGTTCCAGTAAAGTATTTAATACAGTTGCGGGCCATGTTTGCATTACTCAGGTGATCCACTTTTGACACCCCTGCATTGTTGATCCCGGCACTTTCGCCAGCTGCTCTGAAACAGGGGTGGTGGGGGGGGAGGGGGAGGAGACGCATCAACGTAATATTCAGGCCATACCATTCATACCGCAGTAAAACACATTGGGATGATTTTGAATTTAGTAGAAAAACCTCATTAAATCGACACTTAATCACAATTAAGGTACATTCTTTTCACCATGCTATTTAAAAAAACGTGTTTCAACATCGATTAGAAAAAATAAATATTTAAAAATCACATTTTACCATAATATTGGTAAAAATGTGGTTAGGATTAGAATGATTTGGAACATCAAAATTAACGTGACATAATTCCATTTGTAGCTAAAGAACATAACCTACAAGTGAAGTTTGGTCAACTGACCCCAAAGGTGATAGTAAATTCAACAAAATCAACTTACTTGTTCTAAAACACAATCTACTGGCGATTACTATGATGTTACTGCTAAAAGATATTGATGTTAGGGGTGCTTCACCGCAGGTATTTTTAGATTTATGAAAATCAAAATATTACTGAGTTCCCTATGACCCCACCATACAGGCAATGAGTTAATTCATGTAACACATGTACATTCAAAAATGTGATAATTATTCAATATGTTTACAAGTTTTGTCTCCATGACCATTACCTCGATTTTTTACTTTCAGATTACCTGGCAATTCCTACAAAAAATGCTGAGATGTCCTTTGTCTTGCTTCGGAAGGGCAAATGAGCCATTAATATTGCAATGCAGTATTATGGTTTTTGGCAAAAATGGTGTGCCTCTAAAGGTATCTGAACGACCCAATTGGGAAGTCATGGATTCTCTTAACGGCACTAAATCTAAGATCAAATAAAATTCCGGAACGTCATATAAAACATTTGTTTAGATTCTGACCTGTAAACTATGCTGCTGACGCTTATCCCAAAGCTGAACGCGCCCATGATGAGAAGTTCCACACAATATAGTATGGACGTTGTCAGAAGCTAGACAATAAATCGGCGAGTCGTATGGGTCTTCCCAGGTGTTCACACACCAGCCAGTTCTGGGAGGCAGACGAACACAACATATGAAATGCCTCTCCACAATGTTTGCATTAAGAACAGGAATTTCTTTCTTTCTATTAAAAATGTTTTCACCAGAATTAACAAGTAATAAAACTTACCGTGTATCCCACAGTCGTATGTATCCATCATAACCTGTTGAAAAGAGGTGGTGCGGGGATTCCCAGAGAGTATCCAATATGCCTGCTCCGGATACGTAGGCCTCGTTAAATTTCATTATTTCAAGTCCGCTAAAACAATAATAAGGAAAGTAAGTATTTTTTTCAAAGAAAATTACAAGTTAATTTTGATAAGTATAATGCCAGTAGTATAGGAAGAAAAGTCAAGGGTCATATACATCGATGACTTTTGAGGAGACTCATCATTATACTTGCGTGTTATGGAAGACCGGGGATAAGTGGTCACACCATGTTATATCCGGAATTGTTTATTATGTGAATCTGTCAAAGGTTATGTAAATGCATCGTTGAATGATTATATTACTGACGGAGTTTAAAACACTGAAGTAAACTTTCATATGAATGGGTGAAAACCAGAATCCTATAAGTGACATTTTATAAATTCTGAAAAATCTGTTTATTTAAATCAATCTCACTGTAAAGTCCTGGTGCTTTGTCTCCTCATTAAAATCACAACACATCTATTGTTCATTAAAATCACGAAAATACATTGCCACTGAAATTTAGCCTAAAATAAACATGTTTTTCTCACAATTTATAAAATGTCACATATATGGCTCTGGTTTTCACCCATTAATATTTGTTTTTGTAGGTGAAAAAGTACTAATGAATTCTCCTAGAAATGGTATAATGTTTCTTGATCAATATTTGATCAATTATTGTTGTCTTAAACGAAATCTCTTCTAAAAATAGAGCTTTCAAGGTCATCTACAATTTTTGAAAGAATGATTTTTTGGGTAATTTTAGCTTAACGTTAGTGCAATTTATTTTAAAAAAATGCTAAAAAAGTCTCAAATTTTTTTCTTTACATTTTGCCCACGCATGTATCAAAGAACTGTACAAAAGTGGTGCTGGTCCATGGCAAACAGCCTGCATTATTCGAAAATTGCAAAAAATAAATATTGCAAAATTTCAATATTGAAGATAAAGATTATTTGTCTTAAATGAAATCTCTTTTAGACAATTAGATATTTCAAACAGATATACAATTTCATGAAATAATGAGCTGTCTTTTGCATAATTTCTGCTTACAATTAATGCAATATATAAAAAAAAATATTTTCTCAAAAACTTTTCCAATTTTTTCTTCAAATTTTCTTCTTGTATGTTTCAAAGAACGGTAAATACATTGGTGATAGTCCAATTTTCGGCAAACTCTTTGTATTTTCGAAAATTACAAAAATAATATCGCAAAAGAAAAGTATTTGAGATATAGATTTTTATTTTAAATAAAATCTGTTCTTAAAAATCAATCTTCAAAAAGGGTCGTGTAAAATGTTTTGAAAAAACGAATAGTTTTCACGTAATTTCTACTTACAATTATGCAATACATAAAAAAATTCTCAAAACGGGTCTGGATGTATCCTTTAAAGCTTTTCCACGGACAGAGCAAAGAACATTTTAAAGGACTTATCTTAGTTGAACTCTTTGAATTTACAAAAATTACAAAATTTCGAAATAATGCGGAAAGTAAGCGCTGTAGTAGCACCACCAGTTAGTACTCGAATAGTGCGGAAAAAACGTGCGAAGGGACATTCGAAAACTGGAGTGCATACAGTATGTGCCAAAACTGCGGAGAAGAAGCCGCCCCCCCTCCCAATCGGAACTTCTTCGTTTGAAGATAAGTCACTCCGTCCCCGACCCAACGGTCCACCGGAGACAGGAGCGGTCTGACCTCACCCGACCTCACATTTCACACACATGATCAAGACTATGTTACGATGCGTATCCCAAAGGTCTGCTCAAAATTGCTTTATAGTGAGAAGTGTTATCTTTCCGTCCCTTCCCCTCACGCGTATTTGGCATAACGAGTTCAATCACTGGTAATTTTCGGGAGACTCTGTCTCTGCGTACTTTCGGCTGAGAGTGAATGTTTCATATTTCTGTTGCGCCTTTTTAGATTGCATTTCTTCTAGTAAAGCTTCAACATTAATGAGTGTATGAAATTACAATTACTGGACACCGCAAAAGGTCTGCAACTCACCGCGAGAAACTCGTTCACTGTTTGCGAAGTTATCAAAACCTGAGGGGCGTATCTCTTCATCTCCTTCTTCCTATACTAATCTACTAAATCACATAGAATGTGTCTGGGGACGTTTTAAATGGAGAGCAAAGTTTTGGGTAGTTTCATTTTTGTCTATGGAGACTGAACTGTCTATGGAATTTGTGATGCACGACAGATTAACAGTAGTGAGAAAAAAGATATGGGGTTTAGCATGTACTAAGCTATAGACCTAATTTTGTACAGACCATACATTTGGTTGTATTTCTTGGAAAATTCATGGGGCAACAATTATTAGATATAAAGAAAGCACCCTAAACTAAATATATTCGTCACTTTTAATACCATATTTTTCGAAAGCTTTTTCATTTGATATATCGAAAATAGCCAGAACTCCAAGATTAAATTCTACTCTTTTATTCGACCAATTATGCTGTTTCTTTTTAAAGTGCATTTATTTCAAGACAGAGTGAACAATAACTCTCCACATATTAACCCATAATCTTATGTGAGGATATTCTTCAAAACTACATGATAACTTTGCACTAAAACCAATTGTTGGACAACGCAAAATGTTAACATAGGATGCAAAATGTGGGAATATTTTTGTAACTGGTCACTTTCAGAACGCTCGTCCAGCGGACTTCCATAACAGCATAGGTATTGAAACACGTCATGTCAAATTAAAACGTGTAAATTAATATGTATCTCGGTTCGGGGGACACGCATGGGAGTACAATGCAATTGTGGGCTAAGGTATTTTAATTTGTGCCATATTAAAAAAGTCTGCAGTATTTGCACCTCTGTTTTTCCTTATACCGTCTGTAATTTCTCACGAAATAAATGTAATGACATTTTATAGGCAGTATAAGAAATCATTAAAATTATCGCCTTACTGTTCTATATCGTAAATATGCAGAGGAGGTATCTGGTGATAACCAGACGATCCAATAGCACAGAGACCACCGTGCGGACTGGCAGACGTGCTCCACACTCGATCCTGCACGTCGATCGTCCTCAGGAGCTCGCAGCGTCGATCTGACCACTGCCATCGCCAGAACTGCAGGTAATTAATGTTTACGAGTAAAAAACAAAACAACAATAGCCACAAATATAAAATGGAATTTGAAATTATTTGATAACTTAACAGATCTTCGAAGTCTCTATTGCGAAAGTGTTTTTCATGGGACCAGAACGGATATCTGTAGATACTTATTAGTCACTTGCAAATACCCTCCTAGATAACTGTTGACCATGCATGAAGATCTCAAGGAGAAAAGCTTAATAGCTTAAATATCGCTCTTATCAGTAATGCAGTACAGCCGCACTTCCCATTATCCCACTACTGGGCATTCTCAACACAACGGTAAAACTACCGAAGAATCTCCAAAATTGCAGCATACAATCGGCCCCTGAGAATTGCAGTTCTCGGAAAAGTTGATTTGTACGATGTTGGAAGGTTTCGGTTTCTCAAAAGGGAAATCGACCCTACACGCCATATAAAATCATTAGACGTGACAGCCGGAACAAGAGAGCAAATACTGATTGAGACCAATCTGCACGGCTGTCGCCCCGGGCGTTCGCAACGCCTTCCACTCTATCTATGGCTGCAGCGATATGATGCACGCGAGACCTGGGCAATGCTGCTTCCACGGGGATTTTCTGCATTCAAAGAGTCGGAGGTTCGCCCGCGAGAGCAGCGAAAGTGCAAGTGGTGCTGGTAGGCAGCTTTGCGGGGAGGGAAGCAGCCTTCCATTGCACAGTGAGGACGGCGCGGCGTGTAGATTGAAATTTGAATGCCTGGGCGCCTAATGCATCCCATTATTTTCCTTTCGAATTCCTTTAAAATCTGATCTCTCATCAAGATTGACATAAAAGTGAAATATACGTAATTCCAAGAAGGGTAATGTTTGGCAGCACATATATTTCCCCTGTTATGAATCTGAATAAGAAATATCACCGAGCTCTCTGACGATAAGTTAATGGCACCCATGAAACTACTATGGATCTTGTTAGATAGAATGCAAAGGTCTTAATCTTGTTTCTATGATGTAAAAGATTCTAAATAATGTTCATTGATTTGATATTACAAATATATAATGGACTAAGAACTTGTCAGAAATTAGATTAGAACATAGGGGACATGTTAGAAGAGAGGATACAGTAATCATGATTGCTGAAAAATAAGATTTTTTTAGTTTTAACGCAACAGTCTTTTTCAATTAAACACAACTAAATAAAATATTTTTATTACTGTCATAATCAATCAAAAACGATTCAATTTATATTTTGCACCAGAGTAAATTTGTGATTACATCCTAGAAAAGCGAATTACATTAACAGCCATACAAGCAATTATAATACTTGGTGTCCAAATCAAATGTGTATGTCTAATTCGATTTCGGTTCATATTTCACATCATGTAACTACAACAAACATTTTCAATATAATACAAAAAAGCAATATTACTTGAACTGTATGCAACAGTCCGCATTGTTCTCGCCGATTGCTACATCAGTCTACGGGTCACAGTTCGAATTGCTCATTCTTATTGGAGGTCCCCACTCCTAGAATGAGTCCCCACCCTTTCTCGCTTGCTTCATTTGCACTCGAGTGGCTCCCGCGCGGCTCCCGGGGTCAGTGAAAGTGCAACAAACTGGGCAGGCCTGATGTACACCATGGAAACGTTCCAGATACCGAGACTTAACTGCGCATCCTTCGCTATTATGTGAAGGACAGACCACGTGTTTGTGAAACTGAGGAAGGACAGAAAAACAAGCAGTTAGCGAGCGGCACAAGGGGTCATACAACGACCAGCGGTCTCGAACGCTATAACTTCATTGATGGTCACGGACGGTGGCATTTTTCAGCCAGGTTGTTGAACGTGTAAGGGCGCCCTCCGCGGAGCGACTGGTTTCACATTGGCCGCAGATGAGAGACGGTTTTCCACCCAGAAGCCATGCGAAAAGTGACAATGACTGATCTGAAGACGTGTTGGAAATTCTTCCTCAGCCTTGGACACTCAGGCTGAGGGAATCGTCTTTACAGACTGGAAATTAATGCCTCTGGACTTAAATAAGGATTTGTGCTTCCGTGATTTTCATGCGTTAAAAAGGAGCGTTTTACGTACACCAGGGCATTGATGTGGAGACAACGAGAATACCAACATTAATGTTCAAGATTGACAAGTTAGCAGCTCCATCGGCCAGTGCGTTTCCTCTGATTAGGGAATAGCGAGGAACACCACGATTCACAGTACCTAACAATAGGCGGTGAATTTGAAGTTCAGAGTCAAATGGTAAGGGCTCCGAGGAAAACTTGAAAGAAGTATTGAAGAAGAGTAGACGAAACACCATCCGAAAATTACGGCTCACCGCAAGTCGCCGTAAGGCATTTCGACAGATTTCAGCGCAAGGAGTACAGCCAACCAAAAGAACAAATACAATTTATTTGAAAACAGCCGAAGGAAGTTCTACAAATACAGAATCGTTCACGGGAGAACCATTCGTATCAATACAGACGTGGTAAGAGTAGCTTACCCTGCCTTCTTGGAAGCGCTTCTGATATTATAAAAAGGTAATGTTTACTGCCAGGAAGTGTAATCTTTGATTATAAGTGGATTAAGAATCTTGACAGAGTAAGTGGTAAGTGCATTAGTTTCACCGGGAGAGAAAGAGATAATTCACATTTTCAAGCAAATTCTAGAAACGGATATCCGGGAGAAGGGGTAACGGTGGTCGGAGAGGATAAGATGATAGGGAATTAGGATGAAGAGAAGCTTGAGAGGTTACATTCCCTGCAAGCCCGAAATATTTGACACCATATTCTCCTAGTATGATATAGAATCTTCTTTTGTGCAGAGACGGTTCCACCACTTCTACCAAGCAGTCGCAACGAATAAGGGCAGACTTTTCTCATTGTTCAACACAAGGCTGATGAGCGCTCTCTACATGCGCTGGCGACAAAGATGGTACCAACTCCCATGAGACTGCGATGAAGAATCAATGGAGACTTCAAGACATCATTAGACTTCAAGTCAGATGCTTTATCTGACTTGAAGTCTAATGATGCGACTGCACCACATTAGATATCTACTAATAATCTAATTTTTTCAACATAGGGGAGTTGCTGGCCAACGCTACTGATTTCCAGTGAGATTTTATCCACGCATATAATATCAAATGCATTAAAAACGTAAATACATTCAAAAAATATTCCATAGACTTAATCCTGTAAGTATACTTATTCCCCTACCGTGAAAAAAAATCGGAAAACTACCTACCTTTATGGTTTTGTCTCTCGACCCCGACACCAGAACGTCCTTCACATATGTCACGGAATTGATATCGGACGTGTGACTATCACGTTGGGAAAGTATAAATTCCCCTGAGTCAGAACACCAGCCGCAAATAGCACCATCTCTGAAAAAGGTACAAAATAGACGTCCCAGTGTACAAAACACCAATCTATGAAATCTCAAGAAGCACAAAACATTTTTTATCACTTATTTACCAATCCAACTCAATTATTACAATAATCTATGAAGATAATGTTATGAATTCCTGGGCTTTTAAAAACAATACCAACTCAGACCCATTTCAGCTGTCGTGCTCTTAGCTTAATTGAATGGGGGACTATCTCGTGAGAAACGGTGAAACAGATATAATGTTCTTTGAAAAACTACAATATAAACAATTGAAAATAGCAATGTCGGCAGGTGCTTTCCGATTACGAGTTACTGAAGGCTACAAGTCGACACTTCGTTAAGCGGACATTTTCGCGGACGTTTCCACAACTAAAAGGGTTTAACCACTTAAAAACAAAAAGTAGATAAAACTGAAATTTAGAACTATCGATCGATAACACTTTTCTCGAGTTGTCCAAAATTATTGGAAAGATTTTTTTTTATGTTCGAATGGAAACAATCAGCAACTCAGCAAAACAATGCGCTTTCAAATTGTCAGCGTGGATTGAGACAATAAAAATCGTATTAAGACAAAACAAACATCGGCATATTTGTTTTTCATTAAAATGTTGCATCCTCTAATAACAATAAACACGGATCGGCATTTTTAATATGGATATCTTGAAATCATCTGATCTCATAGATTATAACATTTTTCTTTCTCTGTTTCGAATTCGTGGCATTGCACTGGACCGAATATTTATTTTATCACTTTGTATTTCTGGTTAAGTTGCTTATATGACCTTACTGTCGACCCACCATCCTAGCTTTCGTAATCCCCCTTTCTTTTCATGTTCCCGTGGCATTGCCACGTCGCCCTTCCCGAAGTTCCTTGTTACGTTGCCGAGATGGCACACGCTCCCCTCTCGGCAGCGAGATACGCCATACGACTGCGCACAGCCGATACAGGGGAGTGAATCAATATCGGGAACGCGGAGAAAGGGGGTATGAAAGGTGTAGGTGGGAGACAATCTCTATGCCACAACACACAACATCCATGCTTTCGGTTAACCAGCAGACCATCATTCAATCTGCGCCCTGGCGGATGACATCTTCAATGACACTTTTACAGAAGAGTACGGTTCTGACAGTTCGCTCTAAAGTTCCCAACCGTTTCTTGCATTGACTACTTTAAAAACAATTGTTTGCTTCGCCGATGCTCTAGTATTTTCTATTCAATATACATCATACGAAATCATAACAGAAATAATTCACATAAATACCTTTAAAACATCACAGATAACAGCTCCGTAGACCAATATTTTCGTAAATATCTCGATTTGCAATAATCGCAGACGCTTTCGATTCTAAGTACCTGAGTTAGTAATTTTCATTGTTGTACAATGGTTACAAAATGTTGAGAATTTTGTTTGATAACATTAACATATCTGCGGAGGATTTTGAGGAGAATATGTTCTTGCGAAATATAGTAATGGTGTTAATACACAGCCTACTCATAATTTTAGTTTCCAAGCATCCTAACGATGAATACCAAACAAGAGCGAATTTGTAATTCATTACTACATGTTTTGTAAAACAAATAATTATAAACTTCATGAATGTTTCTGTAATCAATGGGATCACTCGCCAGTTCATATTCGGATATTGATCCCGAGTCGATTCCTTAATCATCACTGTCCCCTTTTGAAGGTTCTAATTTCCGCAATATGTAGTTGGCGGTACCTACAATTGAGCACAGTTTCAGACTGATGGACTAGGCCGATGAAGAAATTCGAACCACGAACCAAATAAACCATTAAGTTGCTTTCAATGCATCATGTCGCCCACCCTCGCGCTGATGTACAAAAAATTCACGCCTCATGCAAAGGAAGGATATATAATAGAGGTACTGAATGCTACTTTACATGAAATGACATAGACAGCGTTAAAGATATCATGGAGACACAAACCATCCAATGGAGAACACATCTACAGATGAACAAAGACTAATCATTTATATGACATGAAAGGAGGTGGATAAAACCAGAATAGGTAGGAAGCTAGCGTAATAACTACGCAAGATTAAGCATTAAGAATATATAAGGAACAGACAGAAACCACTGATTATAAAGTCTCAGCTAGACGAATTCTTGTTAAGTTTGAAGTCATGGAAAGAGACATAGCGAATGCAGTTATCTACATTGCCACATCTTTAACACCTTCAAAGATACTAACACATGCTCCAAGTGACTTCTATTAGACCCTGGTAGAATACTCTATGATCAAATATACTGATCATACAATAGCAGCACACAAAGCGAATACTGTTATTCGGGATAAGAAGAAAAAGTCGTGTTCACTTATAAATGTTGCTGTGGCGTCAGATTGTCGTAATCAAGGAGGCAGAGAAATGTTTCCCAAGAATTTGGAAATCGTGATCAGCTGGATGTACAGCTTACGGACACAAGTTCAGACTTCTAGGATTCGTTCAGCAAAATTCATATAAAATAATGATAATGGTGGCGGTCTCATGTTATTGATATCCCTGATTCTTCGAAAATTGAAAAAGTGCAATTTTTTGCGTCTTCCTACATACTGAAAATGGAATTTTTATTTCCTTAATGAAATCTGTTCTTTAATGAAATCTGTTCTTTAAAGACAGATCTTTAAATAAGATCATATTCAATTTCTTGGAAATATGAGTAGTTTTGGTGTAATTTTGGGCGTAATGTAGAATTTTTAATTTTTAAACCTTTTTTCTCAAAAACCGCTCCAAACTTTTTCTTTATATTTTCTCCTCTATGTATCAAGGGACGGTAAAAAATATGGTGCTAGTCTCATTTTCGGCGAAATCTCCGTATATTCGAAAATTGCCATAAGGTAACATTCGAAAATTACAAAGTTGAAGATCGAGATTTATGTTTTCAAAACCTATTCTAAAACATCGGCTCTTTAAAATAGATCCTGTGCAATTTTTTTGAGCGAGTAGTTTTTGCATAATTTCCTCATTAATTTAACGCAAATTATAATAAAAAAATTTCTTCAAAGAGAGCTTCAAATGTTTTTCACGAATAGAACAGGGAACATTTAACAGAATGGTGTATGTCTCATTTTGTTGCTATCAGAATTATCGAAAATGGCAAATTTAGAAATAATGCGAGAAAGTATGTGCTGTTGTAGCACCATTACTCATTGAAGACTCGAAGAACATTGCCTTGGTATATAAGGAGAAAGATTTTACAGATTCGAGAGCAGCATCTTCACAGTTGCAGGGCCCCTATTTTCACACACACTCGACAGCAGCATTTTTGCTTCTGCAGGTCACTAATTATATCAACAAGATTTATCCACTTATTCGGTATCAAGGCCCGAAAATGTGATTTTTTCTGATGAAAAATCGACACTTTCCTCTGCAGAATTACAATTCTTTTTCTTTATTACGAATGTAGTCTATGCTAGGGGAGAAAGTCAAAAGAGCATGCACCCTCCTTGAAGACCAAGAATGTGTTCTCAAATTGTCCTGCTCTAGTAAGTTTGAATTTGCTCTGAATCTCATAAGTACAGATCACATTTCTATGACTTTGCATATTTTTGTACATCAGTGCATAGCTAAGTGAAATTTCTTGACACTTGGTTGGAATATGATTCTATATAGATTAATATGATAGTGCATATTTGGCAGATCTTTCCTGTTGGTGCACATTTGTACAATTATAGGCAGATATTTTGCATATTTTGTTAAAATTGAGACCTATCTATAAACTGTTTCATCTTTTCATAGAATCTATTTATTTGTGCATATTCATTGAGTCAAAAGGACTTATCACAGTTGCAAGCTTTCTTTTTCTGTAGATGACAAAATGCTTGTGAAAATGTAGGATATTTCTTTATACCATAGTTAGAAGAAATACAACAAAACACACAATGTACTTCTCAAAGGTGAATATTTACTTCAATTATTTCTATCACAAAGTAGGGTAGATTATATTATGCTTGCACAAAAAATAGATCTTATCATTCAAAGTATGCTTTTCCTGAATTTTATCAAGAAAGGTTTCTAGAAGAAATGAAATATTGTTAATTTTAATTGGATATAAAAATGCATATTTCAGAACTTTTAGGCCATAAATGCATATTTTTAAAAGCACATTTCAAGATTTTTTATGGCTTAAAATTCTCTCCCTACTCATAACTAAAAGATCATATTCTTTCTTCTTTTGATCTGTCAAACATATGCTCATGATAATTCCAAGACATTACTTCCAAGACATTATTTTCTTTTTAATTGCCTCACATATTGACTTAACCGCACTATTGGGTCATTCCACAATTGGGTCAAATCGCCCAAATTTAAGGAAAACGTCGCCTTGATTTCCCAGATTTTAAAACTTTTTTTTCTGTGAAAAGTATAAGCAAAAATATGAAACACCTGGTTTTCATAATTTCCCGAATATTATTTTTTGAGATTATATTAATTTTCAAAATTTTTGAAAAATGCTCACATTGCTAAACTTAATCATTTTTATCTTGTGTTGCAATTGCGATAGAAATTTAATATTTAACAACATTAAAGAATAAAAGATGCTTTTTCATTTGATGTATATATTGAATTCATTAAATATTTTTAAAATAAGGTAATGTTTTTCATTTTATCATCAGCCCACTTAAATAACTTACTGGATAAATTAATTGGTTCCTGTCAGAATTGAAGGCTAGCTTTTATTGAGAATATTATAACTGCTCCCCCCCTCCCAACACATTGCATGGTCCCTTTCCATAAGACGTTATGAAGTAAAGAAATAACATTCAGCACTCACATTGAAAGCATCTTTGTGAAAGCATAAACTCGCATTGTTTTGTGATACTTGGTACTGAGCCCATCCGAAAAATATGTCTGTTAACAATGTATTAATCTTACTTGAGAAGTGTTATTAGTTTACACTGAAAGGGGTGAATTGAATTCGTGTCATGTTTCAGGCATCCAGAAAAATAATTTTATTTTTAAATTCTTTGTTTTCTCTGAAGTATAGCACAAAAGGATTGCAGAGTAGCTAAGACCTTAATTCACATCAGTCTCTGAATAACATTAAGTATGAAAGAATAATTTTCTTAGAAAAATCACAGTGGATTACAATGAAAACTTGCAGTGTCAAATTTTATTTTTGTCTCATGAAGACAGCAGAAGAAACAGTAGACAAACTTACTCTGTCATTTTCTTTATTACTCGCATAAGATGATATGTTAGGGTGACCAGGGCCAGCGGTGCAAGTTTATCCATCATGTCACTGCCCAACATATTTGCGGCATTAACGAGTATGGTCAATTTCTTTTAATATCTTCACTTTACTCGTCATGAAAAGGAAGTTTGAAAACAGGTTTTTCCAATATACATAGCTCTTTTGAGGGCAACTAGTCAATTTTATACTTCTCAAGAATGCTGGTTGTAACAACCTAAACATACACTTCTTCAGCAATTATAGATTTTCATATTGAGAAAATGCAAATAACAATAGTACTGATACTATTGTAGGACGATCTGTAGTTACTAACTTCACAAAACAACGCACATGTTTTGTAGATTCCTCTGTTTAGTGTATCTGAGAATCTGACTCAGTGTATCTGAGAATGAAGGCTGCTCTGTTTCAGGCAGACTCGAGCAGTGTGAGTTGTTTTTAAAAAAATTTAATAGACGTATTTTGCCACAAGAGTTCCATTTGAGACATTACTTGTGTTTCTGCAATTCATATCATGACATAAGTCTCACAGTTGCTTTATCTGTGACGTCACGATGTGTTGTGTCATTAATGCCCCATAGTTCGAGCAGCTGCCTACGTGTTCCAGTGAACAAATTATTTAAAAAAAATGATATTTGTGTGTGTCCCACTTTTAAAAGTTTGTATTGTATTGTATTAATTTAGGTGAGTCCACTTAATCTAAAAATTTGCATTTTAAAACTTGAAATATATTTTAAATATTTAAATAATATGTTAACAAAATGTATTTTCACGACACATTCAAGAAATGTTTTTAAGTTACATTTAACTGTAATTTTATTTTTCTGAAGGAAATGGTATTTGCGCAAACAATTTTCAACATCAGCGTGCGCATGATTTTTCGGAAAAAATAATTGATAAATTTCTGAAGGGGGTGGGATTAGAAAAAATAAATAAATAAAATAAATGAAAAAATACGTGTCAACTTTTCAATTCAAGACATCATAAAAAGTTTCAAGTTGCTAAAAAATAATGATTTTCTGTGAGTGTGCGATTTGACATGGAATGTCTCAATTCTAATTTCATTCACATTATTATTACTAATTGTACAAGATAATGGCTTGAATTGTTCATAATTTATGATTAACATGTAAGTAAAAGAAATTTGAATTGATTAAATTGTCAATCGTAATTTTCAGTGTTTAGTCTTTTCTTTAACTACATTCTCATTCTCTTGTTAACTGCCACATGAAATCAATATTGCATAGATAGAAGAGATCAGATCAATTGATTTACTACTAACATGTCTGCAACCAAAGGAGGTGATCTTTGTCTCTGCTACACCAGCAATTAGTTAGCAACACTACAAATATACGTGTGTAAAAAGATATTTTTTTCCATTTGAAGGAGAAATGACTTTTTAACCTTGATTGGATTTGAGAAAATCATGAAACCTTAAACATAAAGGTACTGAGTCAATAAAAAAAAGGAGAAAAAACAACAGAAAAGAACATTTTTAAAGGGGTCTTCATACAAGTGGAAAAACAGACTCCTCCCTTTGTTAATGAAAGTGTGATGTATCTTGCATTAATTTCATTTTAATTTAGTAACGTTTAAATTTTTAAATCAAAATACAATTTCTATATGTTTTGTTAACAAAATTAAATTGTTTTACCTTCCTCCACTAAATATCATATCTTCAGCTTCAACAAAACGACAAACATCCTCCTGATGTCCTGTTAATCTTTGTACTGCACAATTACTACGTAAACCATCACTTTTCCTCTGATAGCACAAAATAGTATTTCCCTTGCTTAGCCACAGATGATCATGATTCATTACAAGCCATGGCATGTACCTGTATGGACAAAAGGCAAAGGTAAATATAATTCACATTCAAATCCACCTAATAAATGTACCATCTTATAAAAGTAGAAGATATCTATTTTACCTATGATGATGTCCTTGGTTATGGTAAGTACCGTCAACTGAATGTTTGAATGGTGGAGCCCAATACTATTATTTATTCATAATTACAAATTGATAGCACAAAAAATGTTTATAATAGACAAAAAACATACTATCAATGGGCGTAGCCAAGGGAAGGAGAGGCAATTGTCCCACCTCCCCTAAATCTTTGAACATTAACTTCTTTCGTATAAAATATACCATAAAGTATACTTAACCCATTTTTTTTAAATTAACCATGTTGAAGGCAACATCTCTTGCTCTACCAACAATTCTCATAGAGTTTACCACCTTTAATAGGGTAAAAGTTGGATTTAGATAAACAATGATAGAATGACCCAAATGCATTATGCTGTGTATACACATTACTTGTTTTAGAAAAGGAGAAAGAAAATGAATATAAAATCTTTGAGATACTATTTTCAGAAAATTCAATAACAATTTACTATAGATTAAAAATTTGTTCCTTCAATTATCTTCAAAAACTTTTTGTTTGTAGAAATTGAATATTATTAAAAAAGAAAATAATACATTTTTCATTATTTACATATGAATCATTCCTTCACTTAAAAAAATTAAAAGCTCTTTCTTTATCAGTTTGATATTACTGACACTTTAAATTTGTAAGAAAAAGTTAATTTTAAGCTTTTCAATTTTTAATTATTTATCCATTATATATAATTGTATTGTTATTTATGTAAGTATTGAAAGAATTATTTTATGAACTTTGAACTTTATTAGACAATAAAACTTATTTCCCACCCCCTGGTTAAAATACTGGCTATGCCCAAGTAACTACCTCTGCTATATTTAATGCCACACAATGTGTGAAAGGTTATCAATACAATAAACAATTTTGATCAGGTATCATCCATAAGTTTAAATGATACACATTTAAATTGTATCATAGTGAAACTTGTATCAATAATAACTATGAATTACCGCGTCTTATGAGAAAAGTATATATTTTCCTTGAAACGTCCTTTTCTCCAATTCGATGATATCCGACATTTTTCACGCAAAGGCAGGATACAAAATGACCTGAAGAAAAAAAGCATGTTAGTTTAGGCACAACACGTTCCATACTGAGCAATGTGAATGACGCATTTCACAGAATGAAACTGAATAAGATGAAATTTAATAGCAGCTTTTCATTCCTTAGTAAAATGGCACAGTTAGTCAATGTTGTATGTCAGGATTTCAGTAAGAATTCATAAATAATGTGTCAGTATCAGTGGCAGTTGTTGCTGAAAATCAGTTGTGTGCTGTTAGCAGTGGTCATAGGCGAGTGCAGCGGAAACCAAGGGCGGGCAACTCCATTTCTGGGTTCACTTATCTATTAAACTTTTTTATTTATACATGGAATTTTATAATGCAGCCAGAATAGTTTTACCCCATCACCAGGCTACACTCAAACCCTCCGACAATCAACAGGTATACGAACACTATAGTTTCGATCATCCTAAAGTGAAACAATGTCTTAATACTATTGGATCTGTGTTATGGCAGAAACGTTGCGAAAGCAAATATATTAACCCCAGATTGAAATAAATCAGAGGGTTGTCTTACAATTGTTTTCAAACGTGTGTCTTCAAAAATTGAAGCATTATGTTACGTGTAAAAAAACATGACATTTTCCCTGAAATACAATTTTTTCAATTAATTTTTTGGACACTTAGAAGAGGGATCGACTATGACTTTTGCCTTCGTTCATTTTTAGCTGTTTTGAGCTGAATTTCTATTGGGATAGTCCCTAATTTGGCGTTCTTTCAGGGGTAATTTGAAAGGTTCTTCACGCACTTGCTCCGAATTCGTCCGGTACATTCCAAGTACACATGTATAGTTTCAGATTTTTTTCACATTTTTTGGGGAAATTCAAACATTTTTTCACGTTTTGTAAACATTTTGATCAAAGAATTAAAATAAAATGTTTTATTACACAAGGTTACGGTAACACTTTTAAACATTTTCAGGGAGCCCGCGGCCCCCTTGCTTACCCCTCATATGGGCACAATTACGACAGCGGCATAGCTTTTCCAGCGTCCGCCCGGGGCAAAAAAAGAAATCTAGGTGAACCCACGCCATGCGGAACGTGCTTTCTAGTTCCCGTACTTCCGCACCGGCACGGCATGCGAGTAGCAGTGAACCCGATAGCGTAGTATTTCGAGAGCGATCGAATTGGCGCAATGATATTTTCATTGAAGCAAATAATCTTTTTTAGAAAATAGTCGTTTGATATAATTATCTTAACTATACATTTGTGTGCAGAACCGATCGAATAATTGTTAAGGGGTTCTGGGTTCACCTGATCTAACGCCTTGTAACTTTTTGACTTTGGGGATAATTGCAAAATTAGGCGTACGCAGGTAACCCTCATTCGGAGGAAGAGCTCCAGCGCTCTATTGGCGAGAAAATCGCCGCTAACCCCAGTGATAGGCTCTAAATTAAAAATTAAAAGGGTATGTTCTCGAAGAGCCAGGAGTGCATTGGAGCCGAGGACAAGTTGAGCGCGGATCGCAGCACGGGAGTTGAGTCAGCGCTTCGCCGGGCGACCGGCGCGTCGCGACGCCTGGGCTCGCCGGACGCTTCCCGCTTTCTCGGCAGTTGCACATTTTGTAGTAAGAAACCGCTCGATAGATGGCAGATCTTCGAGGCACTGCCCGGTGCTGGTAATGTCGCAGCCTTCAAGAATTGCATGGCCAGCAGTTTACTGCATGCGCACAAAACGAATTCTCGTGCTCTACATGACGTCATAAGGTCTGCCCGATCGAATCAGCACATGCCAAACTCCATACCGCTCCCAACATAGGCGCGCAAACGCGCATTTAAGAAAAATCGAAGCCGATATCCGCAATTATTATGCTCAGTACCAGGTTTTGAACAGCGACTACCCCATATTTTGAAATACGATATTTTATTTATTAAAGAGAATGCCTATTATGCAGCAGCACCACATCACTAGGACCAGTCTCACTGTTAATTAACTCATGTGTTAATTATTTTGTAAGATAAGAATGTGATTTTCCACTGTTTTCGTCAATACCAATTGCTTCATTTCGAGTCATTCTAGGACGTAGATATCTTGTGTCAAGATTGACTAATATTGACAACTGATATTGGAGAAAACGTTAGCAAATCACATTTTCTTCAAGAACCAGAACCTTAGTGAGACACACGGAGATTTGTACTTTTTATTTGTACTTGGCGTGACAGCTCGTGAACGGGCTCAGACCTACCGGCGACGTCCCTGCTTCGCGGCCATGGGTTATGGGAGCACGTCTGGTTAGCACGTAGACATCCCCACGTCGTATTCCGGTTTTCTCAACCTGAGAAAAGGAATTTCCTCATCGTCACACAGCAACATATACTGGAACATTGCAAGGAAAACGCACACTATAATCTTGCCTGACCAGGAATCGAACCCAGGGTCGCGTAGTGCAAAGCCAGCACGCTGACCAAAAGATAGCCACGAGCCCGACACACGGAGGAGATAATCCATATTCAGTAAGAGCGGGGGAACGCGCAAAGGTCTGCTCAGGCCAGTGGATGATTTTTGACAGGTACCAAAACCGCCAAGTAACGCCCGAGACCGCTTCGTTCTGCGAAATGCGTTCTTCCGCCAGGAGTCAATGCCTCAAAGCGTCAGCTCAGTGCGAGCAGCCGGACATTAGGGACGGTTTTCACGAGTGATTTATGTCGTTTGGATGTCGTCACTTAAAATAATAGTGTAAAAGTTGACACAAATAATCGTGTATATGTATGCGTGTTAATTAAGTCAACAAACGGATATACAGGGACAGACCAGCCAAAATTGAGGCAAAGCGAGGCAGGGCAGGGCAGAGGACGGCACAGGGGGTGGGCAGAGCACGCTAGGGTTCGGCAGGGCGGTGCAAGGCAGGCCAGGACGGGGCGGGATGCGATACACTATAAACTATAGATCGGAGCCGTTGATGCGTGGTTCAAGAGGATTGTGCAAAATGCTCCGGAGTGGCGGTTCGTCAATGGATACCTTACCCACGTCAGGCTTGTAGAGAAGTCAGTTGACAGTTAATGCTCCAAAAGCGATATCAAATCCCATTTCCTCTACTAAAGCAAATAAATGATCCATTGAAATTAACTACTTCTAATACTTCTTGATATTTGAAGTTGTCAATTTTGTGCACAATTAAACATTTTGAAGCGAAAAGATCTTGGTTTCGTAATCGCGTTTACCTAAGAGTGCAATAATTACAATAACTTCCTACGACAAAAATTCATGTTTAAAATGTTAAAAGAACTGATACCCCGCAAGAGACTTGTTAATGTATTTAACATTATTGGTATATACAACAAATAACATAAGTTTAATAAAACACAAGCCGACAACACAAAACGCCAAGAATTCGCCATTCAAATATACCCTTTTCTCATGCCAAGAAGTCTCTTGACTTGAGTAAATATGGAATAAAATAATAACTAGAAAAGTAAACAAATAAATCATATTTCGGTTGAATCATCACATGAAGCCATCGTTACACTTCTAGCCCACTGTCTACTTTGCTTACCTGCTCCAGTTTGCGCCTATATACCCCTGGATAGGAGGTAGGAGAAAGGAGCGCGGAGTGAGGGGAAATTGTCCGTGCTTACAGGACCGCCGGGCTTCCCTTGTAGGCAAAGTAGATCAAGCGGGCACAGTTGGACATGCCTGGCTGGACGGTAGTGACGAGGGTCACTGTTAATCCCGTAGGCGGTGGTTCAAATCCCGGCGCAGAATGTCTTGATATTTTAGTTGTTATTTGCTCGAATAGAAAAAAAGTGTGCTTATAATCATGGTATGTGTTCGATTTTCATTAAACCTGTTGAAATTTAGAATATTGCTAATGCGAATTTCCTGCGTTTCTTTTGACGGAGAAAGTTGTCACACTTCATGCAAACCTTTGTTACTGAGGCAACACTGAAGCCTGCAAGAAATCCATTTTAATGGAAATGTGTGATGCTTTGGTAGGGCAAATGTATCGTTCGAAAAAGTAGCTGATCCATCGTTTAAAGGATTTCTAGAGAAATATACAAGAGAGGACATCCCAGATCCATACACACGAAGAAAAAAATTATCTTCCTTATCGTCAACAATTAGAATCAGGAGGTCGTCCTGTAGTAGAGTCATTAAAAGTCGTTGAAGACATTAAAGAGTTTGGAATTCACGTTTGGAGATATGGGTGAGACTGGTATAGAGAAATTTCATAATGTATTAAGTTCAAATCGTGACTAAAAATTTCTCCAAAATGTAAAATCAGCATTATTTCTAGTGAGAAATCAAAAATGCAGAATTTGACCTTACATTGGCTCAAATTTCATCTTTGAAATATGATCCAATTAGGTCTCGTTACGAAAGAGGTAATTTTCTGCATTCAAAAACATATTTTTCTGACAAAGAAATGAATTTGACTTGGAGCAGTTTAGAAAAATTGTTAATTGCTCACTCTCACAAAAGGCAATACAACTACAAATTTAAGTAAAATAAAATTTGATTAAGCATGTTTTATCCATTTTCACCCAACATCGTGTATATTTGGCACTTTGATAGTGCATGTTTGCATAAGTATTTTAGCATTAGATAGTGTGTGGAAATCCTGACTCTGGATAAGAGTTACATGCCATTAATGACATTTTGAAACGCTCGTGTCTGCTCTAATGTACATATTTTATATCTTAAAAACAAACACACATTCCCTAACACTGTTTTGATATTAACACGTAAACGCCTGAACTTTTAAACAAAATGGAAGTTTGATTCATTGCCATTGGAATCCAGCATAAACCATATTGAAACTTCATATGGAAGATTAACTCTTGTCTTGTGTTTTCAGTCTGGGAAAGCCAAAGGATGTGAAGAATGTTGTCATTCTTTTCAGATTGTAACTTTTTTAACCAATGATGTTCCCTGAACTTCAGTGATGTTCTTTATGTCGACTGTCGCCTCCGCATCTTCAGTCAGTTGCTCTATTTAAAGAATTATTTATGGCATCTGATTGGTAATTAATATTTTCTGCATTTTAGGGCAT